CGGGGGCCCTGGACGCGGCCCCGGGCAGCCGGATCTCCCCGGCGGCCAGATGTCCCGGGAGGTAAAGAGTTAAGGACTCCTTAGAGTTGGGATGGTAAACTTTGAGTAGTCTTTGGTAAACTTTGAGCATAGAAATGGAAATACTTTTGTATTAACATAAAATCAGATTCTTAGAAACTTTGGCCTTTCAGAATAGAATCTGGAGACAACGAACAGAATCGTAGAGACTTAGAACCTTAGAGATTTAATTCATTTCTTTTTTTTTTTCTTTTTTTTGAGAAGGAGTCTGGCTCTGTCGCCCAGACTGGAGTGCAGTGGCGCGATCTCAGCTTACTACAAGGTCCTCCTCCCGGGTCCATGCCATTCTCCTGCCTCAGCCTCCCGAGTAGCTGGGACTACAGGCGCCTGCCACCACGCCCGGCTATTTATTATTATTATTATTTTTTTTTTAAGTAGAGGCGGGGTTTCACCGTGTTAGCCAGGATGGTTTTGATCTCCTGACGTTGTGATCCGCCTCAGCCTCCCAAAGTGCTGGGATTACAGGCGTGAGCCACCGCGCCCAGCCTGATTTAATTCGTTTCTCATTGCAGTAAGGGTTTCCTCAGAACCTGCTTTCCCTTCCTGGCTTGGCGTTGAGGATGTTCCGAGACCAGGCAGAGTCACCACCAGGGCAGTGGTGGACAGGCCAGGCAAAGGAACGAGCTTGACCGGAAAGGTTTGAGTAGCTCTGGGGGCAGTTGACCCATTTTGGAGACGTTGGGGAAGGTTTCTGGTAGAAATGATGTTTATATCCACGTGGAGATAACCTCCACGTGGATGCCTGAGAATTAGCCAGGACAGAACAAGTGGGATGTGGGAAGGGCATGATGGGAGGCCCATGCAAAGGCTTGGGTGCACGAGCTGGTAGGACTAGTAGAATTATGTATGAGTAGAATGATGTACTAGTCCCCCCTGGAGAGAAGGCGGTTGCCAGGGAATGGGGGGAGGGGGAAGCTGAGGAATTTACTGAGTGAGGTTTGTGACTGCAGCACTAACGTGCCTCGGAGTGTCTCGGAGACCCCTGATCACCAGTTTTAACCAAGTTCTGCAGGATAGTCTGAGCCTGGGTATTTTAAAATGTGCTGTTCCTCAGTTGATGTGACACCGACTATACATTCAGGTAGCATCTCTGCCTGTGTTGAGTTGTGCTCCGGCTTTCTGCTGCGTAATTCATACCAAAAGGTCAAGTTGAGGAGTAGTATGTATGGAAGACTTCCAGAAGGATGTATAGTGTGTCTGTCCCTCATATCGGGGTCGGCAAATGCATGGCCCATGTGCTGACACCTTCCAAGCCTTGTGCTCTTCTTCCTTGGATCTGGATATGCCCCAGAATCCTGCTCAAAACCGCACCCCTGGCAGCCACCACACTGGGTCTAAGTGAGCATCTATTTATCATCCCAGCTCTCTGTGTGCATCAGGCCAGACTGTCAGACACCCTGTGCCTTTGGACTCTTGTGGGTGTTTTAGTATTAGAAATGGTGACGTTAGTGTTTTTTCTTTTTTCTTTTTTTTTTTTTTGAGACGGAGTCTCGCTGTCACCAGGCTGGAGTACAGCGGCGCGATCTCGACTCACTGCAACCTCCGCCTCCCGGGTTCAAGCGATTCTCCTGCCTCAGCCTCCCAAGTAGCTGGGAGGCACGTGCCACCACGCCCGTGCCACCCTGCCCAGCTAATTTTTGTATTTTTAGTAGAGACAGGGTTTCACTATGTTGGCCAGGCTGGTCTCAATCTCTTGATTTCGTGATCCACCTGCCTCAGCCTCCCAAAGTGCTGCGATTACAGGTATGAGCCACCGTGCTCCGCCGTGTTTTTTCCTGTTCTTAAAATAACTGGTAACCTTTGGCTGGGTGCGGTGTCTCACGCCTGTAATCCCAGCACTTTAGGAGGCCGAGGCGGGCAGATCACGAGGTCAGGAGATCAAGACCAGCCTGGCCAACACAGTGAAACCCTGTCTCTACTGAAAATACAAATATTAGCTGGGCGTGGTGGCGTGGGCATGGTGGCATGCGCCTGTAGTCCCAGCTACTCGGGAGGCTGAGGCAGGAGAATCGCTTGAACCCAGGAGGCAGAGGTTGCAGTGAGCTGAGATCCTGCGACTGCACTCCAGCCTGGCAACAGCAGGACTCCATCTCAAAAAAAAAAAAAAAGTAACCTTTATGGAGCACCTACTTTCAGTCAAGCACTGTGCTAAGTGCTTTAAATGAATTAACTCATTCGATCTATACAAAACCTTAGGAAGGAGGTACTCTTGTCATCCTCATTTCATAGATGAAGAATTGAGGAACAGAGAAGTTAAATAACTTGCCTAAGTCACATAGCTACCAAGTCGCCAGACAGATGCACACTTAGGGAGGTGGCTCCAGAGCCTGTGCTCCGAGCCATGAATCCTGTAACTGATAGTTTCCCTCTTGATGTTGGTGGCGAGGAAGCGGCTTGCCAAATTTGCCCGAGACTTCTCTCCTAGGGACAGGGTTGCATAGTGTTTACCTTCCTTCCCTACCCTTCGTTTCCTGCCTGCCAGTGGGGCAGAGCTGGACTCTCAGCCTGGTGCTTTGAGAGGGGAAAATGTGTGCCAGCTCTTTAAACACAGGTGTTAATTGCTGAAATTCATCAGTAATCACAGCACCTGTTCAGAAAGCCTCTGGCATGCCCATCTCCAGCAGTTACCTATTAGAAACTTAGCCTCCACAACATTATCTCAGCCTTGCTTGAATCCTTTTTTATTTTCCGCATAGTTGAGTGCTCTCTTGGGCTACTCACTAATTCAGAAAACATTCCAAATTTCACTATTTCTGCTCTAATTTGGCCCTTTTTTCCTCCTTAAAAATTGGTTATACTGGAGCTTCGATTTTGAGTCCAGGTTCAACTTTTGACTTTATCACCTTCAAATTGAGAGGCTTTAGATTAATTGCTTTCCACTGTAATCTTCAGTTTCCTAATCTGTGAGTTTATCTCGGGGTTTATTAAGATCAAATGAGATAAAAATGTGACAGCACCTTGTAATCTGCTGTTAGGGATTATGCTAGATTTTATCTCATGTTCAATAACTAGTGTAATCTTTTAGAAATCTCTGCTACAGTAGAGGATACACCAGTTCTTCAGTGATTTCCACTGCTCACCTCTGAACCTTCCCCTATGTGGTTACGCCATTTATGCATTCATTTACTCAGCTAGTTTGACAAAATTTACTGAGCCCTGATGTGGATCAGCTACTATGGTAGGGGCTGGGGAAACAACATGCCTGGAACCCTGTCCTGTCCTTGGAGAGCCCGCCACTTGTATTAGGAAGTTGGTGGGTGCAGAGAGAGAATTAGAGAAAGAGGGCTCACTTGCAGCCAGCGGCAAGCCCGTGGAATTAGGTGCTTAGAAGAGGGGCACTGACCTAGCCTGGTGAGGGTTGGTCTGGAAGCTGCTTGGAGTGGGTGAGATCTGAGCCGACTCCTGAAGCAGGACACGGTTGGGGGTGTGCTGAGTAGATAAGGACAGGAGAGTTCTCTGATGGTGAAGGTGTGGGGGAGGCAGGAAGGTGTGGTGTGGGAGCGGGAGGAAGTGAGGTTGGCAAAGCAGTCAGGTCTTCGGCAGTCAGAAGCTGGCGAGTGACAGATTTGGGTTTGGAGAATATCATTTGGGGGTCACATGGAGGATGGGCAGGAGGGAACATGACTGGAGGCGGGGAGACATTGGGGTGCAGCTTTCTGCATTGAGTTGGTTTCAGTTTGCCTTGTCCCTTTCTGCTCTGGGAGTGGAGGTCAAGAGGCCCAGCCCCCTGCAGCTGATGGAGCTGTGTCACCAGGCTCTTGCTCCGCGGCTGAGGAGCCTCATGCTGTTCAGGTTCACATCCCAGAAGGTATTCAGCTGGAGCCTCGGACAGAGTTCAGCCCTGGCCCGGCCGCTAGCTGCCAGCTGCCAGGAGGAGGGAGGTCCTGGGTTTAGATGAGATGCAAAACTGGCGCCCGGGAAAGAGGGCTGAGCATTGAGAAACCCAGAAAGCTGTCTCACAGGTGCAGACATGACAGTGGCTTTGTGGTCTCGAAAACCTGGAGTAGACAGCCCCCCGTCTCGTCATTGTTTTCTTGTTAGGGGCTGCTTCTAGCTTGGAGATACACAGCTCCGAGCCCACCAGAGACACCAAAAACATAACTTTTCTGCCCTCTGGTGTTAAAAGAAGGAAGAGATTTTGCTGGGAAGAGGCACCTGTTTTGCTTCTCCTCTTATTAGGAAGTTGGTGGGTGCAGATTTGTCTCTTCAGGGGCCCAGCAGTGACTTCATTGAGGAACATCTGGCCTAGGCCGGATCCTCAGCCGCCTGCAGCAAACATTCCTGCCAGCAGGTGGCAGCAGGCCTCCAGGCCGCAATGCCCAGCCCATCTGCTGACCACAACCTTGCCACACCTCTTGGCATGGGGTGTGTGCTTTTGGGGATGAGGAGGTGGGTAGAAATGAATCAGACATGGGCCCTGCCTGTGTGGAAATTAGAGCACAGGCAGAGAGACAGATTCCCAGGCTATAAAACAGAATAAAATGGACTGTCTGAAATGTAAGAGACAGCATGGTGTAGGGGAAAAAGCAAGGGCAGTGGGATTCACACAGACCTGTCCTGACCCGATGCCGCCTCTTACCAGCTGGGTAACCCTTGGCATGTTGAGTAATGTAACATGAACAATTGTAATAGCTAACAATCGCTAACATTGATGTGATGCTTCCTGTGGCCAGGCACAGAGCCAGGTGCTTTACATACAACTCATTTAATCCGCAACAACCCTTGAGGTAGGCACAGTTATATCCCCATTTTACAGATCAGGAAATGAAGGCACAAAGAAATCAAAGTTCTTCCTAAAGGTCATGCAGCTGGTGGTGGGGAGAGCTGGATTTGAACCCGGGCAGGGCAGCTGCTCACCTTCATGATGTTGCATTCGTATCTGTGGGACTGGCACAGTGCCTGGCACAAGAATAAGACTCTTATTATTAGCTGTCAGGACTAATAATTCATGACAATTCAGGACGACAAAAGCTGTCTCCCGAGTGCTGTGTGTTTAGTGTCACTAATTCTCCATCTTCCTGGCAGATTTGGGCATGTGAGTGTGGCACACCTCCTGTTGGATCACGGGGCTGATGTCAATGCCCAGAACCGGCTAGGGGCCAGTGTGCTCACTGTGGCTTCTCGGGGCGGCCACCTGGGTGTGGTGAAGCTGCTCCTGGAAGCCGGTGCCTTTGTGGACCATCACCACTCTTCGGGCGAGCAACTGGGGTTGGGCGGCAACAGGGATGAGCCCCTGGACATCACGGCCCTGATGGCCGCCATCCAGCACGGGCACGAGGCCGTGGTGCGTCTACTGATGGAGTGGGGTGCGGACCCCAACCGCGCAGCCCGTACTGTGGGCTGGAGCCCACTGATGCTGGCCGCACTCACTGGGCGGCTTGGAGTGGCCCAGCAACTGGTGGAGAAGGGCGCCAACCCTGACCACCTCAGCGTGCTGGAGAAGACCGCCTTCGAGGTTGCACTGGACTGCAAGCACAGGGACCTTGTAGACTACCTGGACCCGATGACCACCGTCAGGCCCAAAACAGGTCAGGCTGCATGCCCCTCCGTGACTTCACAGAGGACCCCAAATTGTGTTTATGTGGCTTAAGCTGAGGATTGCTCTACTGGAAGGACACACAGAACTCAGAGTCCACCCCTGCAGACCAGTGAGACTAAGGAAGTGGTGTGCTTAAGTGTCAGGGGGTTGCCTGTGACATGCAGGTTCTGGGCCCACTCTCTGCAGAGTCTGATTTGGTAGCCCTGGGCAAGAGTCTAGAAGCCTCCATAACAAGGCTGCTCTCCCCAGCCACATCATTCTGATGCAGTTGGTTCTGGGGTCCTTCTAGAACAAGGTTTGGCAAACTTTTTCTGTAAAAGGCCAAATAGACTGTATGGACCATACGGTCTCTGTTAAAACTACAGTAGTCACTTCTGCTAGAGTGAAAGCAGCCTTACATATGTAATGAGTAAATGAATGGGTGTGGCTATGCATATAATATGTAAATGAGTCAGTTGTGGCTAGGTTCCAATAAATTACAATTACAAAAACAGCCAGTGGGACATATTTGAGCCATGGGCTATAGTTTGCCAGCCCCTGCTGTACCATAGTGTGCCTGACCTCCTCTGCCCTGATCATTTCTCAAACCCTAATTCATGTAAAATTGGTGAAAATTAGTTTTTTTAAAAACATCTAGCAGTGTGTCTTTTTTTTTTTTTTTTTAACTTCTTGCCATCTCTGTGGCATGTAAAGAGTTGTCTAAACAATCCTTAGCAAATCTGCCACAGGACATACCACGTTTCAAAACCTCTAATGCACCGTTTGCAATAAGATCGCGACACACAGCCTTGGTACCCTCTGTCTATGTAAAAGACCTGACTTCGATGGCAGGACTGACAGCCAGGGAGTAACAGTAGGTGGGCTGCAGTGTATATAAGCATCTAGCTCTGAGAGGTCAAGAACTGAAGAAAGTAGCTTCAGGCACATTGGCTAAAAAGACCTGAAAGTGTTAAGTTTGTTACCATTGAAAGAATATACAGTGGCCCCATCAATTAAGAGATGCTGAAAATTTGGTAAATGCTTATTAGAAATATACTCTCCAAAAAAAAAAAAAAAGAAATATACCATCCAATCAGAGTAAGTCTGAAATAAACATGTTTTAAAAGCCTGTAATGACAGAGAGGTGGCAAAAATGAAGAGGACGATCAAATGAGAAGGAAAAAGAAGTGAAGTTTAGGAAGGCCTATCTGAAGCCAAGAGAACTCTTACTTTGTCCAGGTGGGAAACTGAGGCCCAGAGAGGGAAGAAAGCTGGTCAAAGGTCACACACCCATTGGAAACTGAGTGAGTGGCACTCAGGAGGTGAGGATTCCATGGGAAGAGCACCTAGAAGTGATTCTCCCACCTGCACCTTCTGCATGGGCTCTAGAAGCTGGTTTAACACGTGACTCTTCTGAGCCTTTGCCGCATGTGTGAAACGGACACAATGACAACTACTACGGGGTGGTGGTGAGCAGAAGGCAGGTTATCCTCTGGTGTGTGAGATACTCAGCACAGTAGAGTGTTAGGGACTCATAAAGGCTTGCAATTAGAACTTAGGGCCCCAGTCTCCTAGGACAGGGTTTTGTTTTGTTTTTGTTTTTGACACAGGCCATTGCTCTCCTTTAAAGGTTTGGGTTGTTTGTGGCGGGGATGAGGAAAGGATCTGCCTTTCCCAGGCCCTGTTGTGCCCAGCACACCTGCCATGCTGAATCTCCCCTCACCCTCGCAGGGACCCACTGAGGAGGGTGTTCCCCCATTTTGCAGGGGAGGGAACTCAGGCTCAGAAGTGGACACTCCAGAACTTGCAGCTGCCCGTGCGTGCCGAGCTGTGCCTCTTCTGCTGTGTGTGTGTTTTCCTTCCCAGGTTTCCTCAGCCTCTGCATCTTGAATCTTCATGGAGTGCCCCCGGGCTTAGCTTCTGACAGGCTTCACTTTAGGGATTGTCCTGGCATCATGGGATGGTGATGCCCTTGTTTCACCAAGACGCAGAGGCTGAGACACATTGGTGGATGTGGCCAAGGTCACTGTCTACTTGGTTCGACCCTGGCTATGCCCCTGCTGGCCAAGGGACCTTGAACTGGTTGCCTGAGTTCACCAAGCTCCCATTTCCTTCTCCACAAATGGGTGGTAGGAGTGACACCCGCCTCAGGACTGCTGTGGGGGTCACGTGAGATCCTCCCTGGCCCAGAGGGAGCACATGAGAACTGGCGTTACTCCACAGTGTTGTCGGCGTATTTGACGGGAGCGAACCTCGGGTCTTCCAGCAGGATCGGGTCATGTTCCCATCAAGCAGACCCAGCCTGAGGCTCAGTTCTCCCACTCTGTACCTGGGTGGTCTTGGTGATGTTAATTAGCCCTACAGGACTTCAGTGTCTTTTTTCATAAAATAGTCACAATAAAGACACTTTTCTTGGGAGATTTTTGTGAGGAATAGTAAGATCATGCCTGTAAAATTTTTATCGCAGTGCCCTGGCACATACACGACATCCAATAAATGGAAACTCTTATGTTTTGATTGATCATACATTCGTTCTGATACTTCACAAATATGTACTGAGGCCTGCTATTTATCAGAGACCTTTCTAGGCACTTTGGATACATCGGTTAACAAATGAGATCCAAATCTCTGCCCTTGAGGACCTTGGCCTTGATAAGGGGTGATAGGCAGTCAATAGGAAATATACATATTAAATATATAGTAGGGTAGGTGGTAAGTGCCATGAGGTTAAAATAAAAAAAAAAAAGAGGGCAATGTAAAGAGGTTGGGTGTGGCAGAGCTGGGACAATGCAGGCTGCTGTGTCAAATGGAGTGGTAGGGCAACCTTGAGAAGGTGGAACTGCAGCAGACATGCAGGACCTGAGGGAGTGTGTTGGCCATGGGGGATCCCTGGGAAGAGCCCCAGGTAGGGTGCAGGCTGTGCTATTGATAATGACAGATTATGAAATAAATAATAGGAGCCCCAGCTCTTACTGTGCCATGCCTGGAAATCCAGCCCCCACCAAGGCCTTGGAGGTCCCCTGGTCTCTGCCTTTCATTAGCAGCAGGACAGGGTAACTTTGATGCGGTAGCTGTCATTGTGACACCCCTGACTCCCCATTGAGGTTGTGGTGTGGAGGTTGGAGCAGATTTCTTTTCCTTGGGATGGGACAGGGTCCCTGGGACTGCTTGGATATGGTTGAAAAAACTGAGGCCCCAAGTGAGGAGGAGACGTGCCCAGAGTCACTGGGTGTCAGGACACAACTGCACCTGCCTCCTGGGGCCAGGCTCCGCTGTCAGTGATTAACTTGTGTCAGATGGTTGCTTAGCAGCAAACACTAAGACCAGGTGACACTCTTCTGTGAAAAGGTCTTGGCATGAGAAGACCCCTCCCCCCACAGCAAAGATGGTTCGTGAATACTTGGAGGAACATGACATATTTTTTAAAAGTCAGGTGCAAAATTGTTTCTTGATAGTATTTCACAGGCAAAATTGATGTACTGTGTCCTGTGGCAGTGTCTGTACTTCTCATGAAGAATTCTGGGATTCTGGCCAGGTGTGGTGGCTCACACCTGTAATCCCAGCACTTTGGGAGGCAGAGATGGGTAGATCATGAGGTCAGGAGTTCGAGACCAACCTGCCCTAGATGGTGAAACCCCGTCTCTACTAAAAATGCAAAAATTAGCCAGGTGTGGTGGCAGGTGCCTGTAATCCCAGCTGCTCTGGAAGCTGAGGCAGGAGAATCGCTTGAACCCGGGAGGTGGAGATTGCAGTGAGCCGAGATCTCGCCACTGCCCTCTAACCTGGGAGACAGGGCAAGACTCCGTCTCAAAAAAAAAAAAAAAATGGAATTCTGGGGTTCTGGCCTGGAGCGGTGGCTCACACCTGCAATCCCAACAGTTTGGGAGGCCAAGGCGGGCAGATCACTCAAGGTCAGGAGTTAAAGACCAGCCTGGCCAACATGGCGAAACACTGTCTCTTACAAACATTAGCCAGGTGTGGTGGCATGTGCCTGTAATCCCAGCTACTCGGGAGGCTGAGGCACAAGAATCACTTGAACCCAGGAGGCAGAAGTTGCAGTGAGCCGAGATCACACCACTGCACTCCAGCCTGGGCAACAGAGTGAGACTCCATCTCATAAAAAGAATTCTGGGGTCCACCTTGCTGGTTGCTAGTAAAGAAATAATTGTTCTTTGAATGGGGCTTTACCATTATCATTTGATCCCTGCAACAGCCAGATGAAAGGGATGTTATCCCCACATTTGTGATGAAGAGGCAGCTTACTCTAAAAATGCGCACTGAAATTCTTATGCACTGACTCCACACTCAGTGCTCCTTGCCCCAGGCTGCAGCTTCCTCCCAGCTGCTCAAGAGGGCTTATCTGGACCAGAGTCAGCCCAGATTCACAAGTTCCCTCTGGCAGCTGCTCCGTCCCCTGGGATCAGTTAAAGACTGCAGAAGGCCTGCCTTCAGCCCCCTAGCAAGCAGACTGGCCATGAGGATGCCTGCTCTGACAGGAGCAGGGTACCTGCTGGCCCAGGCTTGGAGGAAGGTGTGGGATGAGCATGTGAGAGAGGGGCTAGCATCTGGCAGCTGCAGCAAGGCTCAGCTGTGCAGGTGGGCATGGGGTCTGGCCCCAACCTAGCAGCTGGGCTTCAGGGTACAGCATGAAGATGCCCAGTTGGGCAGTGGCCTTTGGGCAGCTGTGTCTGCAGGTTTGGGGCAGGGAGCATGTTCTGATTGCTTCTTACATGGGAGGGAAAGAAAACATGAGCATTGGCTCTTCTGTTGGCTGTGTCTGTGAACTTCCGTAGAGCTCAGCTGCTCGGTATGTCAGCAGCTGATTTGGAATTATGATTGTATGTTTAGTTTTTAGAAGAAAAAAAATTTTTTTAAACAATGTCCATAGGAATCCAAGATTTTCCAAGACCCCAAGACTTTTCAGTATATCTAGGAAAGGATATGCCAACATTTGTTTTGCCTAAAAATGATTGCTTTATTTGCATGAGATCAGGGCCGTGATCTGCTGCTCTTTTGTGTTTTGTTGGCAAGATCTGTCTCTGAAGTGTTTTCAGATGTTCTTTGGTAATAAACCTTCCAGAAGGGCTGCTGGATTTGTCCATTACGTAGGTCTCCAATTAGATTGCTTTTGAGAATTAGATGCTTTTTAAAGCCAGGCTGTGTTGTTACACCCTTGTGACTTTTCTGTTATATTAAACCTTTCCGTGGTTAACTTTTAAAATCTTTGTTTACCCAGATGAAGAGAAAAGGCGACCTGATATTTTCCATGCATTGAAAATGGGTAAGCGCTTTAGAAGATCTTTTTGGATATTTAAGAATACAGAACTACATTCTCCCTACCTAATATTTGTAGTCCTTTGCAGGGCCACCCAGGGTATTTGAGAAAGAAACAGGCATTTTGGTGTTTGGTGTTTGGAAGTTCAGATCCTGGAGGCCAGTATTTATTATGGAGCTCTAAGACTCCAGAGGGCCTCCAGCCCCACTCCAGCCGAACACTGGCTAGCTATATGCCCCAGCTCTTCCTGCCTCTGAAATGCCTCTCTGCATACCCATTCCAGTCTCTTTGTGACAAAGAGACATTTAGCCTAAAATTTTCTCTCTTGATATAGACCCTTCCTCCAGGAAGCCTTTCCCGATCCTCACCCCACAGCAAGACCTGAATTCTCCTTCTGCCTTCTTCTGTGTCCTTCATCTGTTCTCTGAAGACACTAACAATACTTCTGTCTTTTAGTAACACTTCTACCCATTCGTGTGCTTGTCTCTGTCTCGCCTAGACTGAGGCATTTGAGAGTCAGCGCTATCTCTGACCCCCTCTTAGTATCCCCTATGGTGCCCAGCAGCCCACTGCAGAGGCAGGGCCAGCAAGTGTTTGTTACGTGAACCACAGGATAAATCAGCCTATGGTCCCAGGCCCACAGATCACCCAGACTCTTGCTTGTGTTTGCAGGAAACTTCCAGCTGGTCAAAGAGATTGCCGATGAAGACCCCAGCCACGTGAACTTGGTCAATGGGGACGGGGCGACGCCCCTGATGCTAGCAGCTGTTACGGGGCAGCTGGCTCTGGTGCAGCTACTGGTGGAGAGGCATGCGGATGTTGACAAGCAGGACAGCGTGCATGGCTGGACAGCCCTCATGCAGGCGACCTACCATGGGTCAGTGCCAGCTCCACGCCCTCAGCAACAAGGCCAGACATATGTTCTGGCCTGAGATGGGGGTTTCCAGTGGGCTCTTCTGGTCCTGAGATGCTGCATACAAACCCCAGAATTGTGACGACATTTAGGCTTGCAAAAAAAAAAAAAAAAAGAAAAGAAAAAAATGAAAGCGGCACAGGTTCATTTTATTTCCACCCTTCTGTGTCCAGATTTCCTGTTCTCCCATCACAGAATTTCACCAGTGGCCATGAAAAACCATGCAGCAGAAGCATTTTATGCAGAGAGATAAGGTTCTCTAGGTTGGTTTCAGTTGAACACAATGACTGGTTCATTGGAGTTTTCACACTGAGATATAGTGACCTCCTTAAGTAGCCCCTGTATGAAGTAAACATTGGTGATTCATACCATTGTCATCTTGTGATGATTGATGGTGAGATGTGTCCTACCTCTCTCCTTTTGAATAAGCTTCAGTGTTTACAGGGTGCTTATGAACCCCTTCTTATGTGATCATCCCAGCAGGGTGGGCTGTCATCCTCCTGGAGGCCTCCTCTTTGGGGTGGGCATCTTGTAGCTGCTAAGTTATCTGATTCCCAATTAGAGGTTCTTTCCTTACCCTCTTTTAGGTGATCAGATCACTTTCCTGTGTCATCTGAAAGCAGTTTGTTTTCTTCTTCGATGAGCATTGAATTCCAAGATGAAATTTTATTTCAGACACCTTGGTCTGTAGGAGACTTACCCAATGGAGATGTCCTGGTTAAGGGTGGAAGAAGTGGGGTCTCCCATGGGGTCAGTGATTTTTGGGCAGAGCCCTTGGTTTGGCCCCCTTCCCCTTCCCCTTTCCCTTCCCTTCCCCTTCCCTTGTCTTTCCGACAGTATCTCACTTTGTTGCCAGGCCGGAGTGCAGTAGCTTGATCATGGCTCACTACAGCCTTGACCTCCCAGACTCAAGCAATCCTCCCACCCCAGTCTCTCAAGTAGCTGGGACTACAGGCTTGCACCACCACACCCAGCTGATTTTTAAACAAAATTTTTGGTAGAGACAAGGCCCCCCATGTTGCCCAGGCTGGTCTCAAACTCCTGGGCTCAAGCCATCCTCCCGCCTTTGCTTCCCAAAGTGGTGGGATTACAAGTGTGGGCCGCCACATCTAGCCTCGGTTTTCATTTTGTTCCTGGAAGGAACACTTAGACTTTGATTTAAATCATGTTCCCGCTTGACCTGCCCACGTGCTAGGGAATGAGAGAATGAGACTGTTTGCCCTTCCATGCCCTTCTTAAATGCTCAGAGACTGAGCCTTGTAGTTAATGTTGTTGGTTTTGTTGCCCAGGAGCAAAGCCATACTTTTGCTTTCAGTGAATGTAACTCCAGCATTTTCTTCCCAGGAATAAGGAAATTGTCAAATATCTGCTAAACCAAGGGGCTGATGTCACTCTTCGTGCAAAAAATGGATACACAGCCTTTGACCTGGTGATGCTGCTGAATGATCCCGGTGGGTAATTTCAAGAAAAGGGTTGTAAATCTACCCAGCGTTTCTCTGGCTGGGAGTCAAGACAACCACCTCCTCTGTGACTTGTATTTTCTGCACTTGCTTATTCGTGGGGGAAAGTCATTCTGAAGTGTCAGGAGCTTACCACATGATCCTTAGGCAAGTCCCTTCCCTCCCCAGTGGAGCACTGGACTTGGATCACGTGGCCCTGGGGGCTTCTTCCAGCACCAACCTAGGAGTCTCCAGAGAGGGAAGGAAAATAAGACGTGTCTGACTTCGCAGTCCACACACACTCTAGAGTGGCATCTGTGCTTCACAGCCAGAAATCCTGAGTCACTCAGGTGGAAACATAAAGGCCCCTTTGATAAGCAGAATGGGAGATAGAGCGATGGCCCCCTCAGCTTAATTGTGTAGATAGAGGCTGCAGGGTCAAGGGTACTGCGCTGGGAATGTTGCCATTAGTTCCACCCCTCTTGGTCCTCAGCTGGTACCTGCTACTCCTCTTTGACCCTCCCCTGCTGTAACAGGCCCTCTTTTGGGACCTGGGCTTCCAGTTAGCCAGCTCAAGGGGAAAGGTCTCTGATCTGTCATCTTATTACCCTGGAGTTTGAACCCAGAGAGAGAGAAGCTCCGAGGCCCTTCTGACCCGCTAGGCTTGAACCCTGTGCTGGGATTCTAGCTGTTGGCTGTGGGGAGAGAAGACTTTGACGTCTGTAGTCACAAGTCACCTGCTGGCCCTCTTAACTAGAGAGGAAGCCAGCAGGTGTGCCCTTCCTCATCACAGCACCACCACCCTTGCCACCCCTTCCCTGCTACAGGCCCCTGCACTTCACAGATGCACACTTGATTCTGTTTGACCCTCGAAGAGGTCTGAGAGGGGAAGCAGAGGTTCACATCCTCTTGAAGAGATGAGGTCGCCAAGACTCGGGAAGTGATCTGTCCCAGCCAGAGAGTTGGAGTCCTGTGCCCCAAGTCTAGTGATCCTACTCCACCTAATTGGAGACCTTCTTCACGTGCCAAGACTTGTTTATTTGGAATCAGTCCCCAGCCACTCTCGCTGGATCTCATACACACTTTTTCTGACAAACTTATCTTTTCAGTGTTCCTCTTCTCCCTAGCCTCCACTGCCATTTATTCCCTTTCCCAAATAAAACAGCCTGTTCCTAGGAATATTTTTCCTAGTGGGTTTTTTAATAAGGTGTTTACACAAAACTTTTGAAAAAACTCATGCCTATTATTGAGTACTTGGAGAGAAAAAAGAAATAGCCCTGCGTGGATGGCTCACGCCCATAATCCCAGCACTTTGGGAGGCTGAGTTGGGTGGATCACTTGAGGCCAGGAATTCGAGACCAGCCTGGCCAACATGGCGAAACCCCATCTCTACTAAAAGTACAAAAAGTAGCCAGGCATGGTGGCGGGCCCTGTAGCCCCAGCTACATGGGAGGCTGAGGCAAAGAATCGCTTGAACCTAGGAGGTGGAGGTTGCAGTGAGCCAAGAATGTGCCACTGCACTCCAGCCTGGGTGACAGAGCAAGACTCTTGTCTCAAAAAAAAAAAAAAAAAAAAGAAATAGTCATCAAGAAAAAGCATTGTTAATAGTTTGGAGTAGTTTCTTCTCAATCTTTTTTGCAGTGCTTTTT